ATCAGCCCTTGATGTCCCCTCCTCTGATCTAAATCACTTCCCATTTTGTAACAGTGGCTATTATGTTGACATCATATTTCATTGCACCTGTCTGTATTACGTCAAGGATATGTTTGACATGCACATATTTAATCCAGCATTTAGAGAAGTTAGGCTTACTCCTCCTTGTCCCTGGCACTTGGGACACTTTACAGAGTCTATGTATGCCCAGATTTTGAGGGGATTTGGTCGAGATCACGATATTAAAGATTACAAAGTTGTTATATTGGTTGAGAGAAGGTTTCATGTAACTAAAATTCATTCTCTATTTAAAGCTTATGTGTACAATCTCAGTACTAACTCTTGGAGAGAGAGATGCCATGTTTCCAGCTTTATGCGGTCCAGATTACTGTGTGTTACTTGATGGACGAATGCATTGGAGCGGATTTGATAGAGCAGCAAGGGAAAAAAGTGGAATTTTCTTCCCAAATGAACAGTGAAGTAGTCCAAAACATAGGATTGCCTGATGCAGCAGTTGTGGACGTGATTATTCCTCCTTATCTTGATCTTCTAAAATAATCCCTTGCCTTAATCTCAACATGGAGGAGAAATGGAGAAGATTATACAGATATACGGGTGATGAAGTAATATGATGTTAAAGGGATCTTGGACAAAAAGCGCGCATTTGATTGAACCTGGACTGCAGGGAGACCTGAGCCCAGTGGTTTTCTGGGAAGAATGAGCTCCTTGTGAGCAGAACCTTCCGAGAACAGTTGATTTTGCTACCCCTAGCCAACAAGAAGTGCGATGTTTCTAATCAGTATGGCCCGTGTCTGGACCTTGTCGTTTTCAAGGAAAGCTTGATCTCAATCAAGAGAACAAGTGACCAACTATTAGTTTCTTCTTCTATGGGCAAGCCATGTTGTTTTTTTAAAGCAAAGTAGGCCTGTTAATTGGGGTTGGCGAGCCAAGAACTTGGTTGTTAGTTTTTATTTTTATTTTTTTAATTTTTTTGGGGAATACAAGGAATCAAGTAGCTAAGACTAAATAGCTAAATTGACTCCCATACATTTTAAGCCTGTTCCTTTTGCATCAGCAGGGTGTAATTTTCCTAGTCAATTTCAAGGTTTGAGCACAGCAAATCAAATTTTCATGTCATCTGATGCTTACACTTTCCTGAAAATGTACATCTCTGGCTTTACCTTAGCTTTCTTTTCAAGGCATGCTGGAAGATTATTCATGGTACAAGATTATTCATGGCACACGATGGATTTCCCTGAAGACTTGTTGATTGAAGTTCTACTGCACTTCCCAGTGAAATCTCTGTTGATATGGTGAAGTGGCTGTAAATCTTGGTATGCTTTGATCAAAAGCCCCAACTTCATAGCTGTTCATCTTAGCCGTGCCAAAAACAGCAAACTTCTCCTCATCAGGCTCAGACATGTTCCAAGCCACTGAAAGCCCCCTTACTTAACTGTGTATCCATCCAACCCTGGAGTCAAATCCATGACGTCCCCTCAACTGATCTACAGCACTTACCATTTTCCGATAATGGCCATTATGTTGACTTCATATGCCACTGCAACGGCCTGGTTTACATCAGGGATATGAATTACATGTACTTATATAATCCTGCAATGCAGGAAATCAGGTTTCTTCCCCCTGCGCCCAGCTGGAGAAAAGAGCCCTCATAAGTATTAGACAAAAAAAAATTGCTGGAAAACGTGTTCGACGAATTGACAAATCCATTGATACAAAATTTGCAATAAAACTCAATTAGTCGCATCAATTACGAATTAGCAATTAATATGAATTTTATTACCCATTAATGTCTGCATAATTGGACAACACAAAGAACTCTATTAGCAATTGATCTCAATCTAATTGTAGATTTAAAGAACTAAGTATATAGGTTTAGTCCCTAACACAACTCAAAGAACTCTATTAACTATTAATAATTGGAGATTTAAAGCAGTAGAAGTTTAATCAAATCCAATGCAATACATCTATTTACAGCGATCCAGGAGAATTCAGTTTCACGTACAAACTTCAAAATAGCATTCAGGCATGTCCCATTCTTGGACCTAATCCTCATGGTTAATTAAATAACTATAGGTTTCGTTTTCACTTTCTTTGAGCTACACTTCCCGATTAACCTTTTTTTTTTGTTTCCTTTTCTCCTTTTAATTTTTGAATGGATATTCTTATATGGGAGTTGGTTTTCTATTGCAGTTGTAATTGACTAATGTAGCTTTGATTAGACTTGATGCTTGAAGACTTATAGACTCCTGCCTTTTTCATTAATTAGCTTAGTCAGGCCATTAATGAATTCAATTCACTTCAAGTACATGTTTATCTTTCTGAGTTTGTAATCAATTAATAAGTTCCACGGAAATATTGATTTGTCATTCATGAATCATGAATGTATATAGATAATTGATTTTCATTGAAAAACCCATGCAGGAAAATGTATTCACAAGCATCAATTATTCCACTCAAATCCCAGACCAACACAAATAACTCTTCAACAATGAACCTCATACTCTTACGCTTTGAACATGTGCAAAAGTGTGGAAAAACCAAAAGCCACGAATGAAGAGATTGATCTTCATTGACGATGAAGCAAGTCTTCTTTCTTTCTTTTTTTTTTAAAGAATACTTTTATTTATGCGATTTCATTATTCACAAAAGAATGTATTATTTTCATCCTTTTACATTCTTCTATATTCTTTTACAAAATGCATGATTGGATTAGCAACAAAAAACCCACAAAGAAAAGCCGCAACTAAGCATGTTTGTATTGAAACAAAAAGTTTCTAAATTCTTGCTTCAAATTTACATGAGATCCGAAACTACGTGGTTTTTTTTTTTTTTTTGCATAAGTTATCATGTAAATTTTTTGACACATGGAACCCAACAATTTAATTAATTGCAGTCTTAGGCTTTAAATTGCATACATGCACGCTGGGGACGTCAATCCCCAGCAACACTTTCTTGGGCCTTGGATGCACTACCTACTTTATGAAATAGTTAGATGTTTATTTTATTGTCAACTTTCCCCTTTTATTTTAATTTTACTTTAATGTCTTTGATATCATGATTATCTGTATGCTCGTGTAAGACTTTAATTTGTAAGTGAAAATCTTTTAATTCTAAGCTTCACAGTAACACCTCACATTTACAACAAGGTACAAAAAGTACAAGAAATTAATAAAAGCAATAATTTATCAAATGCGACCGCCAATCCAAACGACACATATCTTATACTAAACGCTGTAACACATATCTCACATCAAGTGCTACCGCCAATCCAATAAGCAAGCACTTTATTAATATCCATATCATTGTAAGCAAGGTCAAAGATGATATAAGCAAACACAATGTTGCTTGTAAGTACCAAAACATTCCTCAATTGCAAAAGGAAATACTAATAGGTAATTAAGTTTTTGAAGTATTAAATTTTTTTTCTAAATGTAAAGTTTTTTTTACATTATAAGACTATATGAACATCTAGATATTTTAAGTTTTGTATACAAAGTAAAATCATACTATCAAAAATAAAGTTACTTGTAGGCAAGCTCTAATAATTATAAATAAAAAGTAAGTTCCAATTCATTAATAATTTACTTAGTGCGTCACTAATATACCATTAATTATTATATTATCTTAGATTATATTACTCGATTTTAATTTTTTTTTAAGGTTGGAAATATCTACCACAACTATGTGAGATGATCTAGCACTCAATGAAGGAAGTCCACCGCAGAACCAAATTCATGAAAAACCAATAGTTGCAATTTCAAGACTCAAGAAAAAGCCCGACCAAGGAACAAATCATGTTTACACACAAAAAATGAGCTAAAACGAATTCCTACATGCATATCTTCTTATATAAGGGCAAGAACTAGAAGAGATATCAATGTCAATGTCCAATGTTTTTATATGAGCTGTACCTCGTCCTTTATTGTATAAGAAAATATAGATTTAGGAATCATTTTAGCTGATTTTATTTTATTTTATTTTTGTAAACATGCATTTGTACCTTGGTAGGTATTTATCATGAGTCTTGAAAATGCAACGACTGGTCTTTCATGGATCTAGTTTTGCAGTAGGCTTCTTTTATTGGGTGCTAGGTTATCCCACATAGTTATAGTAAATGTTTCAAGCCAAAAAAACAAACATAAAATCTGGATATATAATCTAAGATAATATACTTATGGTATATTAGTGAAGCATTAAATAATTGGTTAATGCATTCGAACTTACTAACACAGTACAGAACAGATCTATATCATTCTAAGGAATATTTGCATTAAGATGAAATTACCAGTTACATGTTTTTTTGGTCGATCTACTATAAAACTCTGAAGTAATATACACCTCTAAATTGTAAATTTTATAGGGAAAAAAAGACGCACTTTTGCAGAAAAAGTAACCTAAACCCATATATTTTGTGCTCGAGGTCCTAGAATAGAAGGATCTTTTATTTACACAGTTCTTGGTAGTATCTCAATATTTTTAACACCCCAAACCCCCCCCCCCCCTTTTCTTTAGTTATTTATAATGTGCATATAATTCTACTGTTCAAGTCACAGGTGGAGCTTAGCTTGACCAGCTTCTATTTAAATTAAACCCAGGTTATCACTTAGGATTTTTTGTAAAATTTTTACTAAATCTTTAAGGGTTGGAATTATAACTTTTCAGATCTTGGAGGTGTCTACCTTCCCTCCAGCTATCTACATTAGATCGTTGACGGCATCACATTAAAACAATATTCTGATACTGTACTAATTTTGGTTTGGATGATACTCGAGTGATTCCGCAAAAGCACAAGCAATACAACCAGAGGAAACATCTGAAGAGATTAGTGTAACACTATAAGATTGTCACCAACATATCTTGATTCTTAAACAGCAAAATTCACCAACAAGGACCGCATATGCGTAGCAAGGAGAATATACTAGAAAAAGAAAAAAAAAATCAAAAGCAAGTAATACAATTAGTACTTGGTGTTATCCCTATTAATTCCCATTAACAATTGCAACAATTGGGCTCCGGACTGAGTACTTTGCAGAATTCCAAGAAAGAGACCCTTGAGACACAATCCCCTCAGCGGCCGCTTCCAATCGAGTAAAGATAACTTCATATGTCAACTTCTGATTTACCTTTGAGAAATTGAGAGTATGAGGTACCACTGTCACTTTAACACCTTTGGGTGCAACAACCTTAACGTTGTACGTGGATTTAGCCTCACCAACATTGGTAACTGTTCTTGTGTACCTCTGAACAGGTGATCCAAAAATGATTGAAAATGAAGGGTAGTTTAACTGTGCTTCAGGTATGCTTGATTCTTTTGCGCAGTTCACCTTGCTTTGTGTTAATAAACCGACCTCCTTGTCAGTGTAATTCATCAAACCGCACAAATATGGCACGTAGTCTGTTGGTTCAATGTCATATATTAGCCCTGGATTGTTTGCTCTAGACGGATTAACGTGGCCTGAACCAACTGCAAAAATGCTTGCTGGAAGATGCCTTTCATCCTCAATGGGGTTCTTCGCAAGATTCACAAGATCAGCTGTGGTCATTATCGCAGACTTAATGGCTGCTGGAGACCATTTAGGATGAGCACTTTTCAGAAGTGCTGCAGCACCACTCAAATGAGGGCAAGACATTGAAGTGCCCGAGATCACATTGAAGTTCAGTTTTGATTTCGTGTTGTTTTCGATGGATTCATTCCAACCGGCGAGAATGTTTACGCCAGGGCCAATTATATCAGGCTTCAGAATACCTGGGCTTGCTCGGCTTGGACCTCTAGAAGAAAAAGAAGCGACCATTGGAGCATGATTGTGTCCAATGACAGTTCCTTTGAAAGAGATCGCTGCAACAGGTGACTTCGTTGAGTTTATGTAGGCCATGACCTTGAGTCCATCAGCATAACTTAAAAGGGTAGCAGGAAGGACATGAGCATCAGCGAAAGTGGTGTAACCATCCTTCTCTGGGTTAATAAGTATCATTCCAACACCATCAAGATCCTTGATGTTTTGCCCCTTTTCAATTCCTGTAAGATCACCTCCAACATGGCAAACCACTATCTTTCCCTCCACTTCAGTCTTGTTCAGTGATGCTGCGTTGCAGTATCGTGAGTCCAAATCACTCTGGTTCATGCCTGCAGGGTAGAATAAAGGATGCAATGCGGGAGGAAAATCCTTGGGTTGATATAGTGACTCGCCATGAAATTCCTGCTTGTTACCAAGCACGGCAGTTGCCCTTATGTTTCTGTCAATGGTGCTTGCACCAACAGTCATGACCCAGGGGGCTTCATTGGATAAAGAACTTTCAAATGGGCCATCATTTCCTGCTGAGCAACTGACAAAAATTCCTTTTTGCATTGCACTGTATGCTCCTAGCAATACACTATTTGCATAAAACTGATCTTCCCCTCCTACAAGAGAAATGGAAAGGATATCAACCCCATCTTCTATAGCAGCATCCATAGCAGCTATTATATCACTCTCTGAACATCCATCTGGTGTACATACTTTATACATGGCCAAGTGAGCAAGAGGGGCAATACCAACTGCAGTTCCATTGGCATTGCCTAATACATTTGCACCTCTGACGTAGTTTCCAGCAGCTGTGCTTGCTGTGTGAGTACCATGGCCAATCTCATCCAATGGCGAACCATTCCCATCGTGGAAATATCTGGCTCCTATCAGTTTGTTGTTGCAAACTGATGAATTGAAGTCGCACCTCCCCTTCCATTTAGCAGGTGGTGGAGGCATTCCTTCATCATCGAACGAAGGGTGGTCAGGGACAATCCCAGTGTCCACCACTCCAATGATGATTTCTCTGCCGTAGTTTGATTGCCTCCAAAACCCCGAGTTCTGTTGCAAATTCAGCCCCAAAAAGCTAGGAGTGTGGGTGGTACTCAGAGACAGCATCTTCTGTTTTCGTGCTAGTACAAAACCAGGCTTCTTTTCCATCTCTTTTACGTCCTCAGCTGATAGTTTGGCAGCAAATCCTTTGAAAACATTGCGATAAGAATAAACAATGCGAGGACTTGCTTCATTTGAGCTTGCAGTAGCTGTTGTTGGTAAAAAAGAGTTGTACCAAGTTTCAAGATATTCATTTGACCTGAAATCTGCAGTGGAAATTTGATCAATGTCATCAGGCAACTCAACATGGATAATGTAAGTCTCTAAAATGGTTTGTCCATGCAAATCATGCGAAGAGATAGGCAATGAATAAAAAGTGATGGCCAGTATCATCAGGGTAAGAATATGCAATGAAGTCATATTGTTAATATCCAGGAAGATATCAACTAATTGGACAGTATCTTGGGTTGAAGACTATCAGTTGACAGAGGAAGAAAATAATCAAAAGTACGTAGTTGGATAAGGAAGTTCTTAATGTATGATTTGGTTGTGGTGTCTGAATTATGGGAAGCTGCAGCCATATTTATAGGGAGTGCCCCCAATATTTTATTTGTAAAACTACTATATTAGATTTTCAGTCCCATTCCTGAAGCATGGGATGTAATTCTCTGGCTGATGGTGGGAACTGGGAAGCTACCCCGGAAGTTACACAAACATTCTCCTCCTTGGTTCAGGACTTTTCAAAGAATCATTTACTATTTTTTCTTCTAATGGTTTTCAATGGTCAAATCATATATTTTTTTTCCATAACAATTCAAATTACAAGTTAGAACAGCGAGAAATTCTATTTTGGATTGTCATTATAACATGTACAGTTCTATCATGAAATGAGAACCCTTTATTTTGGAAGCCATAACCTTTCACATTGTAGGCAGTACAAATTATACAACCAACCCTTTGCTCTTCCTTCCATTCAATAAAGTCTCTCCTAGGTTATCCTAGTGAGAGTTTTCTTCTCTCCTAGGGTGTCCTATTGAGAGTTTTAGTCTCTCCTAAACTATCTTAGTGAGAGTTTTATTTAGTTTTGTTCTTTACTTTTTCAGATCTTGGAGTTTTTTTTTTAGATCTATATGTTAGATCTACAATTTTTTTAGTCTTCTCATCAGATCTCACTTTCAGTATTGAACTTGAACTAGTTGGATAGCAGATCTGAGGGAATATTTCAGATTTGGATCAATCTCGGCAGATCTCACCATCTTTATTGGACCTTACAACTGTTGATTAGCAGATCTGACGATTACAGCATACACAAAGAGAGCTGCAGCGACTTATTCTATGATGAAATGTTTTTCAAATTTATCTGTCCTTAATTTCTCAGAACTTACGTATTTGTTAAATTGCAGATCTATAATTTTAGTGCATGTTTATCTGCCATCAGGGCAGCAATGTATCTCAATTGTGCTGGATGATTTCCAGTAATCCTTTAATGAAATATGTTTTATTATCAAAAAAAAAATTATACAACCAACAAATTGATGGCAATCTTGGCTGAATAGGGGTTGGAAACTATTTTCAACCAAGTGATATCATCCTTGGCTAAAATTGATACAAACAACCAATGCTCTATTCATGCTCACTCATCAAAAAAGTGCTTGCATTGCAACTTCAAAACTTTAATCAATTGCCACACTTTGAAATTTTGAAGCAAAACAAAGTTGTCTACTCAGAAATAGAACAGTTTCCACAATCATCTTCATTCCAAGTGTCTAGAATCCTCCTCCATGAGCAAATCAACAACATTCATGGCATCCAAATGAAGTTAAGAGAGAAACTTCATGAGAATTTTGGAATTCAAAGGTTCGTAGTCAAAATTTCTAATGTAGATTTCTTCACAAATGATCTTGAGTATGAAAATGTGTTTTGAGTCCCCCTATATTGTGCAACCTTACTTAGGGAGTTTACCTTTTCAATGAGATACTTCTATTTATTTTTAACAATTGTTGGGAACACAAAATTTCACCTGTTTCTCATTTAAATTTTCCCTTCATTTACCAAGAAAAAAATTTTCTCTTCAAATTTCTGTCCTCTATATATTGTCGGCATAAAAAAAAATAGAAATTAAATAATCTCAACAACTTGTACTTTTACCATATTTCAACTTTCAATAAGAGGAAGTATAAATAAAATAATATATTGATCCAGATGTTCATTTGACAATTTTATAGAGAGAATGTTTGAATATATACATCGTAAGTTATAATAAAATGGCATACAAACAAGAATGTAGAGCCAAGTACTTGACGTAGATATTTTACAGATGAAAATAAAAAAAATCAATGGAAACATGAATGCAAGTTAATGGTTTAGAGATATTTGTTAATCCAATGGATGCTCTCAACAAGTATGAAAAAATATTACTAAGTAAAAGCATATAGAACAAGAATCAATTAAGCAAATCAAAGAGCTTATAAGTGAGTAGTAGTTAAAATTTATTGTAAGGCAAAATCTTGGAGAGAACGGGCAACAGGATTTTATCAAAATTTTACTGGCCGAGAGAACAACATTTTACAAAAATTTTCAGAACTTAACAGGGGTTTAATTTTCAAATCAATTTGACAACTTAATCACGTGGAAGTAAATTTGGTGATTATTCAACCTTAAACATCTTATCGAAGTCAAAACTTTGCTTCTGTAGAGATTTGACATCAACACTACGAATTTGACCAGGTACAAATCACTACCACATTGCTTTGCTATATCTAGAGGAAATTTTCTTTTAGTGATTTGGAAACAAGAAAAGATAACACAACTTCAAAGTTTTTTGTTTTGGTTTGCCGCAACGAGTGTGCTTTGGCACTTCTTTTAAATTTTTTTTCAGTGTAGGTGGGACTCGAACTGCCAACCTACAACCCAAAGAGAGAATTAATTCTTTTTGGTGGCCACTAAACCAAAATTCAATGGTTTGAAATAACTTCAAAGTTGAAAACAGGAAAAATATAAAACTAATTCATTAATGCATTCGAATCCATATCTTACCAAGGCAAGCATTTTTTTTTTTTTAATACATTTGGGTGTTACTAGATTTCGAATTTAAATCCCTAGAGAGGATTTCAGTACTAAAAAAATACTTTAGTGAATTACAAAATCAAATATTTTTCGTGTAATACAAACAATTTAAAAGAATTTGACAGTATTTCAAATCCTTCATCGAATCCACCAATAATACAAATAAAGCATTGCTATCGTGTATATTACAATTTTTCATACGATTAAGTTACATTATCATGTTATAAATCAAACGAGGGTAGTCACCCCTATAATGACAGCACCAAGAATCTGTCTATAGAGTGTATTACATTCCTATTACTATCATGTTATATTGGATGGTACTAGGGAAAGATGATGTTCCTCTTTTTGTACATTCATCCACATGCTGAAACTACACTAAACTATTCGTCAATGAGATTTGGCGACCAGAAACTTCATCCACTGGCCTTTGTCTACGCCACCAGATTTTTCTGATCAGACATTCATCCACTGGTCAATCAGATTCCAGAGATGAAGTTTCTATTCAAACATTCATCCACTGAGCTTTTTTCTGCACCACTACCACTAATTGTAAATTATGCACCATGGACAACAAGTGGACTACTAGTCTACTACTATTGCTTGAACAGATTTATTCTAGAGAACTTGCAGCGAATTTAATTGTAAAGTGGGAGCAATTATCAGGAATTCTTGTTTTCTATCTTGGGTTTGTCTTCAAAGAAGAAAAAGAAAGGCTTGCTAATTGCTATAAAATGTTTAATTAGAAACTTGCTTAAAACAATTTCACTATTTTCTCTCTTATAATCGTTAATTTCCTTAATAAAATACTCATCCAAATCACAATTTTTTTTTCTATCTCTAAGATATTAAATGTGGGCATAGTTGTTCCTTTTCTCGTATTAAAGCACTGAAAGACTAAAGGGATAAAACCCAAAAAAAAGAAGAAGAAGAAGAAGAACGTTTTGATGAAGTGTATATCTTCTTTAGCATAATGATACTCAGGATCTGGTTGTCCTTGATAGCATATATTTTTGAATCGGATTAAAATCACAATAAAAATCTTTCTTTGGAGAATGTTTCCAACAAATATACTGTAGGGAGTTTTGGATTGCTATTTTTAGAAGTTTTTGTTAGAAAATATACTCTAGCAATTTGATGTATGTGAAGTAAAAAGGTGATTGGAAAATATATTCACAAAAATATAAATTTTTTTTTGCAAAAAATCACAATCCAAACAAGGGTTTTGCAAATTAAGCTCTCAAAAAGCTCCTTTAAAATTCACTTTTTGCAATAGCAACTGTAAAAAAAAAAAGCTAACAAGCTTTTCACATAATTTGTTTGTTACCACATGCTGCATGCCCCCTTAAATAAAGATTAGATGAAATACACATCATATTTACAATCCTTCAATTCTTAATCTTCATATCTAAATGGTTTATGCGTATGGAACCAAAATAGGTTTATAGACAATATATTGCACGTCTACATCGTATTGCCAACCACCCACACTTGATCTTTTGACCTCTTTGTTTTCACTGTTTAAGAAAAAAGAAGAATAAAGAAGATAGCCCACTACAAAAAAGCACATTTTGCAATAATCACTCATGAAGAAAGAAAAGGAATAAGGCCAAAATCAAGCTGCCTTTCTCGGCATCATTCACTTTTTTTTTTTTAAGTACTTCTGTAATTCTCATTTTTACACTTGTTTTTTTAATGGGCCAATTGGGCAGATTATTATAGAGAATATGCGTGAGACACGCACAGAAAAGAAAGATTTTTTTTTTTTTTTTGCCTTTTTACATCAGTGTGGTCAAAGGTTCTCACATGATATCCAATGAAATTAAACATATTTGTTTCTTCGATTTAATTTTTCTTGAATTAAATAAATGCTTACATAATCAAATTAGCAATTTGCTTATTAGATGCTTTCGTTTTCAGTATTTTTCAGTATTAGATGCCATGATGAGTCATGGGCGTGAAACACGTAGAACAAAGATAAGGGATTCCACCTTTCACATCACTTTGGTCAAATATTCTCACATGACGTGTATGAAATTAAAATTATTTATCTATTTAATTTTGTGAATTAATTATACATGCTTTACCAATTAGAATTAGCATTTTACTCGTTAGATTGTGACTTCTTCAATAGTAATTAAATTCAAACTTGGGTTTTTTTCTTTTTTTTTTTAATACTTTTTGTAGTTAAGGAATAAGGACTGTAAAGTTAATTTGGCAGACCTCCATGTCCAAAAGTGCTGCACTATTCCCCTTTATATAACAAAATAATGACGAATTAAAAAGCAAACCGGCCCTTTCGGCCTTCCCTAATAGAAGACCCGGAGCAAAAGGATGACTTGTTGAATTTTAGACAAGTATTCAAAAGAAATTTGAGAAAAAAGACATCAAGGCTATGAGTGGTAATTCTCGACACGACTCCAATTTAATATGAAATTAGCGAGTATGCATTTACTCTTCATGAATTAGATCTGAATAATCGATCAAGCAAATAGCTCCAAATCAAGCCAATCACGGGTTGACCTATTTGATTCATTTGACCCATTAAATGTGTAATTTTATAATTTAATAAATAAATTGGGGGCATAAAGTAAATAAAATAACTAATCTAGGCCATCAATTA